TCTGTCTCTCTCTCTCTCGCTCTCCCTACCGTTAGGTAACTTGTGCATTGTTTTACTTACTTGTTTTTGACGTATCCGCCCGAACTACAAACTTTCCAGTGATGTCTGTGAGAAAGGTATATTCACCACTCGACAAGCTCGCGCATCTGCGCCGCCGCGCGCTCAATCCACTCAGCGTGCTTTGTTAATCAGCTCGCGCTCATCAGCTATACAGGCGTTAATACTGAATGTTTAACGTTATATTCATTGCATGCATATACTTCGTAGTAGACATCCTTAACTCCTTTCTGCTGTCTGTTGTTCTGTTGTCGGTGTTTCATTGTCTGAATATGGCGCTTATCACATGCTGTGTGGTATCGGCGTTTGGTATCGGGGCATTTTAACGAGTACGAGTACAGGAGACCAGTATCGGTATCGGTGCATCCCTAATTTTTACCCATCCCCATGAATATTTTAAATGGTCTCAAAATTACTATTCTAGAATATCATCATAAGAATCTCTCTATCAGGAGCACAATTTGGAGATACGTGTCTTAAATTATAATTGTTTTTTTCAACATATATAACTTCACATAGGCTATTATGCATAACCTTAGTTGTGAATTTCAGTTATAACTACATTATCTGTGACATCAGATTGTGGTTTCTGATGGTGATTTTGCTGCTTGATGCTGCTTTCACAAAACACTGATGTTACTCAGCTTCATTATGAAATGTACTCACGACTGAATAAAGGAGGTATTCCAATGCTTGAATCACTGTCCTCACCGGAGTCAGAGAGATTGGTTTCATCGCTGTCACTTCTGGAGTCAGAAAGTCTGCTATAGCGACGCATCTTTAAGAAAAAGTCATACCATCTCTTAATAAATTATCTTTCATATTTTTAATTTTAGGTCTGTGCACTGTATTCGGGAAAAAGATCCTGCTCCTGCGGGATAAAGGGCAATATCCAAGCTGACTAAAGTTGCCTAGTCAGGTGTGTATGCTGTTTAAAGAAATCATGTTTTTTTCCACTTATATCTGATGATTATATTCTATCATATACAAGTATTTCCATTTTGCATAAAGGAGACATCACGTGTCAAACAGATGGAGTGCAACAAAGAATGGCAGCCTAATAATTCTGACTAAAATGTTGAAGTTGTTTAATGTTTCATAATATAATGTAATGTTTTAACCTTTTTGTACAAGTATAGCATACCCTACATTCATTTTCCTTCAGTTTATTTTATTATTTTATTTTTTTTGAATACATTCATTTCATTATTAATTAATTATTGATTGTAATACAATTAATTAAATTATGAATAGATTAATTATCAAAATAATAGTTAGTTGCAGCCCTCCTGCATGTAAACCAGCTGTTGGGGCAAATAAACATGGCATAATTTAGACATGATGTTTCAATGCCTTGGAAGTATTTATGACAGTTGCATAAATTCATTGATTGACTGTTGAACTGACACTTAATGAAATTCATTGTCCAAAAAGGCTGTTTTTTTTTCCAAAAAAGTTTCACTTGGCATTAGGGTTGTGCAGCGGAGCCATTATTGCATCTGTATCTGTAACAATCACAAAATTATTCGTATCTGTATTCGGATAAAACCGGAAGTAGGCAGGGCTTAAACTGGAAGTTCGTACAGTTACTTGAGAAGACCATTATGTCTATGGTTTTACACCCTTTTCGTAGTTATCACTGAACAAATATGCCGCGCTTAAATAAAATAATGTTTTTTTTATGATTATAACATTTATTTAAATATCTTCTAACAGTCAGAGCCGATACCCTTGTATAGGCAGTGCTTCGAGTGCTTCATGCGACACAAGTTCGAATCCCAGTTTGGGGACCTTTCGTGATCTGATAAATAAATGTTTAAATATCAATTAATTAAAACTGTAAGGGTTCCTACACAGTTTGGAAATTAGGACATTTATTTAAGTAATTTCCAGGAAATGCATGGAAAAAGGCAACTGCAACACTGCTATTTTATTTGTGCTTATTTCATTCCAGTTTACACTCATTTACTTCACACACTCGTTATTGCGTAGTAATTTTAAAGGTTTATGTACAATAACATGCTTTACCTTGGCTCACCGATTCCTGCACAGTTTGGAAAAGTATGGAATTTCACTTAAAGGGGTCATATGATGCGATTTCAAGTTTTCCTTTCTCTTTGGACTGTTACAAGCTCTTGGTGCATAAAGAAGATCTGTAAAGTTGCAAAGACTAAAGTCTCAAATCCAAAGAGATATTCTTTATAAAAGTTAAGAGTCAGCCACGCCTACCTAAAACGGCTCGTTCTAACACGCCCCCACATATATACGTCAATATGTGGAAATATTAGCATAATGTGCACGCAGATAAAGAAGGCGTGGTTTCAGGAACGCAGCAGTGTTGATGCAGCATGTCAGGGAGACGCTGTGTTTCAGTGCGAAAGCAAAAGCACTTTATTTGGCCTTCGGGAAGTAGATGCAATTAGGAATCATTGGTTAAGATTTATTTACAACAGAACAGCACAACCCAGATGTTCGAATTTGTGCAACGCATTTTATGGACGACAGCTTTTTGAACCTAGAAGAGTACAAGGCTGGATGTGCAAAAGTCAGCTGTCTTAACCGCGGCTTGTGTACTGCATCATCTCTGTGTCTGTCACGCGACTCTGTTGCCCTTTCGGGCTTGAACTGATGGTAAAACTAACGACATTATTAACTGTCTTGATATTTACATTGAAAGCTGAAGCGATTATGGTAAGGGGCTTTACATTGCCGACGCGTGCTTGCGGTGTTCGGCCAATCACAATGCACTGGGTCAGCTGGCCAATCAGAGCAGACTGCGCTTGTCAAAGGAGGGGGCTTTGTTGAAAACAACGTGTTTGAGAGAGGCGGGGCATAGAGGACCTACAATAATGTACAGTATTTGAAAAATAATGTGTTTTTTGAACATTAAAGCATGTCAACATATTATGTTACACCAAATACACAAAATAATGATCTTTAAAAAAGCATCATATGACCCCTTTAAGCTTTAAAGTGTTTTTGCAACCAGGATCTGATATTTGACCATTAACTTAAGTATATTTCATAAAAAATTGAATCTAGCCACTGTTCATCCTTATGTCCATTACTATTAATTATTAGCTATTATTATGGTGGTTATCAGTCTATGATAATGTGCAATGCAGATAAATTACCATTAAAACAATAACAGCAAAAATTAAGAAACCAATTTTTGAAAGTATCAAACTAAATAAATATATGATTATCCAAATGAGTCTCACCCTGATGACACTGCCAATGTGCTTCTGCTGGATGATGATGTCAGTCAGATCAGATGTGTTCACATGAGACTTCAGGAACAGCTGGAAAAACAAAAACATACGTGTGTGTGTGTGTGTAAATATAATGTATTCATATTCGTTGTCATTTTTAATCTCTGCTGAAGTGCAAATTGTGCAGTGTAAATTATATCTGCATATTCAGTGCAATGCAAACATTAATGTCTCTGTACCTGCTGCAGAAGGGTTTTAATGCCATGGAAGTCGTTGTCAGATATCGCGTGTGCTTCAAAGTCCACAATAACCTCCTAAACGCAAACCGAAACACATTTATTGATCACAAAACAACGTATTTCAACGCAGAGCCAGTCTGGCCTGCACATCAGGGCATTTTTGGCTGCAATAACAATTAAAATCGCAACTTACCTCGTTTATTTTTTCAGAATTCTCACTGTCCTCGTCGCCAGAGTCTTCCAGACCCTCGTCCGAGCTTTTATCGCCGTCTTGGGGGTTTTGTCCCGTTTCAACAGCTCGCCTCTTCGCAGATGAAGCCATGCTGCTCCACTACAGCACGCAGGAAGAAAACACGAGCTCACGCAGAGCGACGTTTTGAGTTATCCACATGTTAAGAAACCGAGGAGTCTTATCGGCCATGTTGGCTCACGGTAGACGGATGGGTATACGCAAAATACCTCGTTGCATAAGATCCAAAATGGCGTCAGTTTCAGATCACGATCTTTGAGAAGCGGCAGAAACCATATTTTACACAGGGGTGCTGCGTGAAAATCATTTATTATTTATTAAAAACGCAATGGCAAGGATTCAAGTTTCAAACAACCATCTTTTGACCTACATAGAAATATAAATATTCTTTAACGTAGCTTTAAGGTTTACTTAAGCGTTATGTCATATTTCAAAATAAAAGTAGATGCTGGCGGCCGGTTGCACATAGTGCTGTGTGTAATGCATTACTAAGAACTTGTTTACTGTAATATGATTACTTTTCCCCCGAAAAAAAGTAAAGTAAGGGATACCTCTTAATTTTTCTGTAATTTAATTACAGCCACTTTTGTATGAATTGCATTAAATACAAAAGAGAAATAGAACTATTCTATATAAAACAATAGTGGATATAACATCAAAATTTAAAATCTAATGTTAAAATATATTGTTTTTTTATGTAACCTTCTTCCTTTATATGCGTTGGTCATTTCAAGAATAATTTATGATTTTTTTATTTTCTTTTAAGAATTTAAAGAGCCGTTTCATGTCTATTCTTGTGTTGTCCAACTGGTCGAGCTTGATATAAATCAGAATCAATCAGAATCAGCTTTATTCGCCAAGTGTGCGCAAACACACAAGGAATTTGCTGTGCTCTTGGTACGTACATGCATACACATCTAATCTAAGCAAAGAAAAATAAAATATTATGAGATTAAGATTATTCTCCTTTGATTAGATGAATATTTATTTGTTATTTGAGAAGGTTCGGGAAATGTCTCAAACCCGCTCGTTGACGTCACCGGGGGGCGTGACCTATGCCGGAAGTGCAGGTGGATCTTTGAGTTGCTCTCGTAGAATGTAGAGCGTCAATTTCGCACAATAACAGACAGATTTCAAGCATGGCCCTCAACAACAATCATTCTGAATCTGGAGGTGTTATCGTCAACAACAGCGAAAGGTAATGCCGCGTATTCATTATTGCTGTCATTATTTTGCTATATAAATCTGGTACTGTCCTATTTTTGATTTCACGGATTTGTCCAAAACGTCCATATTGAATTAATTGTTGTGTCTGAGGTTTTTCTGTTCACATAATATGAATAGTACAGTCTACAGTGTCATGTGTTGAATAACATCGCGTGAACCGTTAGATCACACCCATTTTATTCATTTGCACTGTTTTCATACTGTCAGCTGTTTATGTATTCATTTTAAGCAACATTATGTTTACACGCTGTAAATGCAGCCCACATTCAGTCACATAAGATGTTATCTTTTAAAAACATGGATCTTGCGCAGCTTTCAGAATCCTACTATGGTGAAGTGTGCTCTATGAATATTAATTTAGTCATGCTCAAGTTGCTTGGAAACCTTCCTGCAGCGTTCAGTCACGCAGCCTTATTAATATTCGGATGCGTGAACCTCCAATTTGTCTTTCAGCCAATCAGCTGGAGGAATGCCACGTTACGTCATTAATATTAATGAGCTCAGCATTCGCCGTAGTAGGATTCGCGTTTGTGCCGTGAATGGCTGTGTTAGTCGCAGTAGGTCAGCAATAATCTTCTTAAGCTTCTTCTAAAAGAAATGACATGCTCTTAAAGTTTCACAATAGCTGTGATCTTA